CAGCAGCTCTCCAGGACCTTTTGGCTGGATCACTGTTGACTATCACAGGAACTAAACTCTTCAGCTCACATTGTGGAAACAGAAATTTAAGCAAACTGAATCCTAATGGGGTCAGAATGAAAAAAGGAAAAGTAGTCTGCAAATAAGAGTAATGATTATAAAAACGAATCTGGTACATTTAGATCAGGGTTTGTTTGCGGGGCTGACATTGTACACTAGTTTTCTGCTTCATTTTCTTTTTCTTGGCTGCATTACCTTCTAGTCCAGAATTGTTTCAATTTATTATTACCATCCTTAGCTACCTAATTGTGCTACTAATGAATACAAATAATCCAGGCATCAGGCTTTTACAGACCCACTTCAGTGTACAAATAATGGTTTGTTGTGTAACTGCTGATTATGGGAGAAGGTAAGTCACATTATGGAAAATATGTGCCGAAATATTGGTGATGAGGAAAGCAATGGATTCTGTACTCTGCCTTTTAAATTGTGAAAAAGTATTGTCATTCTTCCATCGAGTTGTCCATCATGAGAAAATGTGAGATCCTATGAGCCTGGTTTTTAAGCGTGTGTACTTAGATTTGGAACTTCATTTAAATTTTTTGAGTGTCTGTATTAGCACTATCACATATGAAATGTAGTTGGCTACCAAATTGCCTATTCAAGTACATATGTATGGGGTTTGAGCACTCAACATCAAGCATTTGCATTTCAAAATTGGATCCCTTGTGCTTGAAAGCCTTGAAAATGGTACTCTATGGTCAGCCTAGTGCAGCATCAATTGAAATGCTGTTTGAATGCAATGTAGAGCTTCCAATTGCTGCTTTAGAAAGTGTTATGCTGAATCTGGAACACTTTGCATAATTTAATTAATTATGCCACTAAAAACTGATTTTCTCTCAATTTAAAGCAAACAGCTTTTATGAGGGTGAACTGCGGCACCCAGGGATATCAGGTGTCCAAGCTTTTAATCCTATTATAAAGACTTGACAACCACTGATGGAAACTGGAACAACATAAGCCTCCAGCAGGGCAACAAGTGAAGAGGAAGAAGGCAACAGATTTTTAATACTCTTTGAAACCACTGTATGCATTAAATCAAAATCAAATGTAAAAGGTGACAGAACTGGTTGCTTGCACTTCGTTGTGCAGACAGTGAATAGTGTCTAAGGAATAACACTTATTTTGCTATAACATTAATGGAAATAACTGTTTCCTCTAAAAGGAAATGTATTCTGTTTAACTAGCATAAGAAAAACAAAGTGAAAGGCCAAGACTATTTGTATCTGTGTCTGCTCACTTAAAGTGTTCAGGAGCTCAGCAGTTGGAAGTTTGAAAGTGGTTTCTAATGTTATAGATTGGATTCTCGTTATGAATCATTTTCCATATAAGTAAATCTTAACAGATGATTCCAGACTACAAGTATTAAGGATACTGTCACTAAATGCTAGCCTTGATATTTTGGCTTTCTGAAACTTGCCTTCTCTCTTCCAAATTATTATTGTGTTCAATATCATGCTAAAACAGCAGACACTGTAATTTTGAGGCAGAAAAGAGTACTGATTTAGAAAAGCTCTAATTTCTGAGCCACATAAGCAGAGCCATAATTGGCAAACTATGACTGACCTTGCAAAATTCTGTGACCAGGTTAGGAAGGGTCACAGAAGAATTGACTCCATCTCCATATCGAACATCAGCATGTAACATGAAATTAACTGCACTGTAGAAGATCCTGCTGATAAAAATAGGGAAAATATCTCATTACTGGGAATTCAGTATCCCTATAAAATACAAACATCTTCCTTTTAATGCTAGCAAATATTCACATAATTACTAATATGTATTATTTGTATTCTTCATATCTATAAGGGAGATGCTACACTTGGTTCAAAGGAGATACAGGAGTTATTTGGGCTCATTGAAAGTGCTTTAACCTAGATTTAAAGGGGAAAAGGGATAAAATCAAGTCATTAGAGATGTCTGGAAGAGACACACCAGTGTTTGAAGGACAGTGTTTTGCTAATGGTAAAGGATGGAGAGCCATGTGGTGGCAAAGACTGCAAAGTGTGTGATTGATGTGTTAAAAATTGCAAAAGTCCGTAAGAATAGTCATGTAGGAATTACTTGTCTCCCCCCCAAAAGGTGGTGGGATCAACAGGCCAGCTGAAATGCATTTAGAGCAATGCACACAGCATGGCCACCAAACAGGAAGAGCTGGAAGCCATTGTGCAGCAGGAAAGCTGTGGCAGAGTTGCCAGCACAAAGACATGGTGGGATGACTTCCAGAGCTGGAGTGCTGCAATGGATTGCTATAAACTCTTCAGAATGGATAAGGAAAACAGGAGGGTGGGGTACGCCTGTGTGTTAGGGGGTGAAATATGTACATCAAAAGGGTAAAAAGCAGAAAATTAGAGAACATAAAATTAAAAGGAAAATTAATCTTTTTCCAGATAAGATTTAGCTGCTTTACTGTGTATTTAAATGTGTGTTCATGCTTTTTGAGAGTGTCTTAGTTCTCAAAATACAAAAAAAACAAGGTCACTTGGCAGAGGTCATGAGATTTGAACCATGTATTTACCAGCTCAAGTGTGTTCACTACATAAAGGTTATAAAAATTTCTTGTAAAATAATAAAAGTATTTAATATAATTGATTCTTTTCATTGTTTCATAAAATTGCTTTGTTTGATTGCAGGAGACTTTGGACTGAATTTTCATTACCTACTTCTGAACAATTTACACTGGGATTGAGACAGTATAGAGCTAATGAGTTAGAATTTATATTGAGCCTTAACTGTCTTCCTGAAGTAACTAGGGAAAGAAAATCATGGCAATAATGGAGTATTTTTCATTATAAACTATGTTGTACAGCTTTTACAATCAGGTTTTTAATAGATCTAGAGAAATTAAATTGGAATTCTACCAACTTCTGTGCTTTTGTCATCCAATGAAAATGATGTTAAAATATGTCAAGACTAATAGGCTTATCCCCTTTCTACTGAAATAAGGAGGTGGTGTCATTCCTGTTGATTTTCAGGCTCTGCTGTTCATTAAAGAGTAGGATGTATGTAGAAAAACATTCAGAAATATGCACTTTGCTATAATCCATAATGCTAAATAGAAACTGAGCATAGATCAAATACATCTTGACTTATGTCATCCTAAAGTCCCTATCAAGAGACTCACCAATGAAAATAGTAGACATTTTCAAAGTCAGGAGGTTGAAATTGTGCTCTACATGAAAAAGGAAGCAATCATATATTGCTGATGGGTATATTAATACTGCTGAGAATGCATGCATATATCCATATTTATTAATATATTCAAACATTGTTTATTGATTGTGTATGGTAAATAAACTCATACAGTGAATGTATAGATTACTGTGTATGCATAAACATACATACACTCAATCTCAGCCTTATATGTAAGTACACACCGAGAATGATACAGTTTGTCAGTTTGGAAGATCTTAACCTTTTCATTGCTTATAAATATACAAATTAATAATGAGATATTTATCATTATTGTCCTTTATACAGAGTGTACTGTATTGTCCTTTAATTGTATCCTATTTAATTTTGTGGTTATTTTTTATGAGGAAGTCTGCAATAGAGAAAAAGGGTGTTTCTCAAATGAATGATCTGTCATCTCAGTACACGTTTGTCCCCATTCTTCTTTGCTGTTAGTCTGTTCCACTACTAGAAGACTGCAAGAATCAATGTAATCCCTTACATTTTTATAAATAATATAAAATAAAAATTGAATATACAAAATAGAATCATCAGCCAAGCACATATGCATGCATGTTGGTGCCCTCAATAAATTAATGTTTTAATTACTTCAAAGAATGTTTATTTATTCACAAAAACAGGACACAATATAACTGTAGTTTAAATTTTAATTGGCATAACAGGACATTTTTTGTTAGACATTTTGCAGGCAAAAATATTCTCTCACATATTAATAAGTTCTGTATATAGTTTTATATTCTAAGTATGAGGAAAGTGTATGTGCAATATACACAAAACACAGACTTCATGTGAATGAGTATGACTCTAATACTTTAGAGTGCTTGTGTACTACCTCTTAACTTTAAAAAGTTATTCTTACATACCTTTTTTAGTGGGTGGAAAAAACCCCTAACTAACCCTGAAGACCTTCCCCCAACTCACATATTAAAAAAAGAAAATTAAAAATAAATTGACACTTAAAAAAAAGGTTAGAATGCTGGCCTTGCTTCCAAATTCAGAAATTAAAAATTTGGAATCTTCATTCATCCAAATAATATATATTCATTCCCCACAGGCAGCAGTGATGGTTCTTGGGATAAAGAAAAACTTCAGTGTCCCCCCACCCAAGGATCACAGGCCTCTGTTAACCACCCCAACTTGCCTGGACAGCATAATGTTCCAGTTAGCCATCCTCTCAACCCTCTTCAACAGAACCACCTCCTGCCAAATGGTATGGGTTGACATCTTTCAGCACTAACATCAGCAATTTTTAGTTCCTGTCTTTTTTCTTGTGTTTATATAAATAGGCAATGAAAAAATCAAGGATGTGCGGAATACTGGAATACTTCCTTTAAAGTATTAAGCAGGGGAAGTGGAGACAGTAAAGAACAAATACATATGCAATAAAATTGATACTTAAAATAACTGCTAACCTGTGCATCAGTGGCAAAATTATGCATTGCTAAGGCACCTTACAGCAGATATCAAAAACTGTGATAAACAGCCATTACTTAGCAATGATATCGTACATTACACAGATATGAACAAACTAAGAGGTCTAATAGCCTCTCCTTGTGGCTAGAAACCCTCCATGGCTGCTAGTGATTGACCCCTGCATCTCCCAGAAGAAAACTGACATAGAGCTGCTTTTTCCTGCAGTGTGAACCATCTTGTCACCTGTCACTTGAATATTGTCCATCAGGAGAAAAAAGAGGACAGTGCTTAAGAAAAGATGCATAAACCTATTTCCCTATTTTTGCCCCCAACAGGGTTGGAACTTCCTTTTATGATGATGCCCCACCCACTGATTCCCGTGAGCCTACCTCCAGCCTCTGTCACGATGGCAATGAGCCAGATGAACCACCTCAGCACCATCGCCAACATGGCAGCAGCAGCACAAGTGCAGAGCCCTCCATCCAGGGTGGAGACATCTGTTATTAAGGTAACTATACGGCAAGCCAAAATGAACCAAACCAAAAGGCACCAAATTGTAGCCCACTCCCAAACACTGTAAATGTTGTAAAGGTGTATAGGTGTCAAATGGTCTAAGGTAAGTCATAAAGTCAATAAATACAAGAAAACTCAGTGTGGTGACTCTGAGAGCACAGCAGGCTCCTGGAGGCCACTGTTACCTTCTCAGTTTTCCTCTGTATCTCTAAATCAGTATAAAAACAACACTCAAATTGAAGCATTTTCACACATAGATTTGTGATTTCTCATATTTCATAGTCTGTAATCTAATGTTCCATGAGATAGCATGGAAAAAATTACTCTTAAATTAGAAGGGATTGTCCTTCCAACTTCAAAATCTAAGCACTTGAACTGAAATACTCTAATTTACCTGAAGAAGGCTGAAAGGTTTGATACTTCACCTGTGCAGAAACTAAATCTGGCAAATCCCAGAACAAATTGGAATGAAGTAGCATGGAACAGTCCCAGTAATCTGCAGGCCAGAACTGTAGTATTATAGGGATATCTCATAAATATCTGACAACTGAACTTGTCTACCGGCTTTAGGTTTTGTTTGTGGCCTTTAATTAAATTAATCTGGTTATAGAGGCTTTTATCAGAGGCATGGAGTCTTTTCTTCCTCTTACTGAAGGTGATCTGTTTTCATTTTAAAGGCATTTCATTTTTAAGGGTGCTTCCCTATTACCATTAGATAATTATGACAATCTTCATTTAGGTATCTACATTTTGCCTCTTATCCTTCTTTGGTTCTAATAAATGAAAAAGAGAAAGTACACAAACTTTTGTTCTCTTTTCTAATGTATCTTAGAAACAGACAAGCAAAAGCAACTTTATGTGGGGGCTATGTTGGAAATCTGTCCATTCTCGTAATTCTTTTGACCAAAATTAGATAAATGTAGAATGTCTTGGACCTTCAAATCGGGAGTTACAAAAGTTTTGAAGTTCATGGTGATTTGAGTGAAGAGGTCTGACTTTATTAAGACAATCAACATGCTGGTGCACCTTTCTTCTTTAACCTAACAAGCACAGAACTGCTAAGAACTGTTAAATTGAAAGTCAACAAATCCATGTTTTCATTGACCTGGAAAAATATGATCTGATGGCCTAATTTAGTCACTACATTTCCAAATGTAGGGTCTTCTTTGGAGGCCTTTGGTGGCATCCCTTTCTCAACTTTGTTGACATGAGGAGCTAAGATATGGGTTTGAGAAGATTTGTTTATTTAGGTGGTATGCCAAAAAGACTAGATTTCGCCCTAGTTTCCATCTTAGCCATCTCTTGGGGATATAAGCAGTCTGCTGCTGACTAACTGATTACATGGTGATTTTTGCAACTTTATTTTTCTATTTTTACTTGATTGGCATTTAGTAAGAGTTACATGATACTAATGTTCTCTGGAACACACGTGGTGCTTTATTTCATTCTAAATTTATTTTCTTAATTGGAACAGTAGCCGCTGGTACTTCAGGGGTATCTAAAAATGAAGATTGAGATGGAGTACATGCTAAATTACATCTGATGTATTAATAACTGTGCCAAAACAAGAAAACTTTGTTTTCACTATTTTCGTCCTATTTTCTCTCCTTTCATTTTCTATGAGCTATTTGATTTTATATGTAAGAGTATAAAATTTGACCTTCATGAGCATTGGTAACCTTCTGTTTCTAAACTTTACCAAGCTTAATTCTAGCTTGTAAAGCTGATTTACAAGTTAGATGTAGCTATTAAAATAGCCTAAGTTATCATGGCCTACATTTAAATATGTCGTCTGTAGGAGCATATTCCAGTGTGACTGCTGTCTTTGTCTCCAGTTACCACAGTCAGGTACATTTGAGCACAACATATCTCTTAGGTCATGTAAAAATGGTTTTCTTTTATGGAAAGCAGGTCCTGCTCTGTTGACAAATCTATCCCCGTTATGGGAACATTGCTGGACCCAGGAAGCACTTAACTGAGAAGTATTTTTGGCTCATGTGATCTTAACCTGTCTAGATTTAAAACTATCGGACTCTGAAAGGGACACACTGTCATCATATAACTGTATATTATTATAACTGTGGCCAGTCCCATACCAGAAGATTTTCCTTATCCTGGAGGTCCTTTACTTTTTAACAAGTTCATTTTTGTAACTCATCTATTTTCTTTAGCAGAGATAGATTCTTTATAACCTCGGTGAAGACCTTGAAAGTACATAGCAATTTAGGCTCTCTGAAACATTCTATCAGCACGTTGTAATTGGAAAAACATAATATCTTTCCAAAAGCTTGCTTATTTAAGCATTTGTTTGTATTAATAATCGACAGTATGTATCAATGTCATTTTTGAAAATTCAGCTCTCATATTCATGCTAATTAAATATTCACTGTAGCTGCCAACTTTTGCATAACTCCTGGCATAACATCCTGTGTAAGTTATTTGACAAACCAGTTTTCATGTTCCCATCTGGTTTGCACATAACCATAATATAAAAATATGTGGATTTCAATGAAATGTTTTTAAATGATCAGATTAACCCAAGTTCTCTTTAGAAAAAATGTGCACATATGAGGATGAAATACACATTTCTTTTGAAGTTTGCATTAACAAGTTAAGGATTTTGGGTCCTTTATGTAGAACATGACATTACCCAAGTGCTGGCCTGACTTTTTCAGTCAAGGCCTGTGATATATTGCTCACAATTAATTTCTACTGTAGGTGAATCCATAAACACAAGTTTTAATTTGTCACTCAAAACTCACTTCTAAATATAAGATCTTGATGCACATAGTTGTTTCAACAGTATTATAAGGGCTAAAGAAGTTACTGTTTCCTACTCATTCCTTCATCCCCCTTGTGGTACAACATATGTCTAGATTTATGTCCTCTGTTATTATCTATTGTAGATGGATATGGTCATGTGGATAGAGGTAGCACAGCCAAGTAATTATGTTCCTATTTTTTTAATACCAAACAGGATTGAAACATAAACCCCAGAAACTTAAAAGCATGAGGTCATTGTTAGGCGATTTTCTTCCTGTGAGGATGGGCATAATGTCACTGGCAATTTACCTGTTCTTCTCTAGGCATAGTCAGAGGCTGTGATTTTAATGTCCATTGAATTATATGCACTGAGTAGTTGAGCAGGAAACTGTCATCAGCATACTTCTTGAACCTTGTGCTGCCAATGTAATGTTTATGAATAATAACTTATACTACAATCAAAATAAATACCTTCAAGAATAAATCTAAGTGAGGTCAAACCTCCTTTTTCTTTATTTTTACAAAAATGGATAAACAGTGCAGTTGCTCTCTTTCATGAAACTGTTTGTTATTAGAATTACAGCTTCCAGTTTTTTACTCCTATTATTTTCAGACATCTTGGGTTTTTTTCCATTATGGTTTATATGAAATAAAATTATTTCTTGACAATGAATATATAAAACTAATATATTTTTCATTATGGACTCATTTTTTAAGCCTAATTTTACTGAAGTATTTTTTCTTTAGTATCAATGTTTCCACAAATTGAAAAGTTTTTGAATCACTTAGCGTTTGTAGTTGAAAACTGAAATGATAGCATAGATTTGAAATTAGAGTACAGCATGTGTGCTAGTGTAAACTCTGCTTGAAAATTAGAAGGCCTGTGAGAAATTTCAATTCTGAAAAGTAAATCAATAGTAATCATATCTAATTAAGTAACAAAGAACAAAATTAAGTCTTAGAAAATCAGAGTCTTCAGATTATGAACAACCAGGTTCATTGGATAGAAGAATTGCCTTTGTGAACAGTGCCACAGTAGATGACTTGCTGACCTTTCCTTCCAATTCACTGACTTCACAGCTAGTGCTGTTATCTTTAAACTCACAAAGCTTCAAATGCCTTTCTATTACTGGCAATATTTCATTTCTTCATGATAAGAAGTTGGAATAAAGCTGAGAACATGTACTAACTAAACATTTTATCCTGCTGTATTCAGGAGATGAGACAAAGACAAAATTACAAGGGAAGCCTTACAAAGCAACACCTTAGATTTGGCAGTGAACTCTGAGCCCTAAAATCTTCAGAATTATATTTCAGAAGAGTGTTGTGCCCTTTCGAACATGAGATGAACATTAGATGTCTTTTTGTAATGGAATGTTTAGATATATGAGTTGGATGAATAAGAGGAGAGCAACAACAAGCAGGGACAGCAGATTGTGACAACAATGAATTGCAGTGAGTGTGACAGCTGTGACCTGGGGATGCTTTAGACATGAAGTGGCTTTCATCACCTGCCTGGGGTTTCAAAGGCTCAGCTTGTTAGCAGTTTCACTACATTTTTTTTCACTCAGCAGAAAGATATATGAAAATATAAAGGACATACCTTATATTAATAGCAACTTGAAATTACATTGTAAAAGTTAGAACAGAGCAGTAGCATGCCAGAATCAAAAACTGTGATTTATAAATATGTGACTAATACTTATAGAAAGAATAAAGAATGAAATAGAAGAAACCAATACCTCCAGCTGAAAAAGTGGAGACAGCCGTGGCAGAGTAGTATTCCACTGTGTAATGAATGTATCAGACTAAAATTTGCTAATTCCCTCACATATATCTAACAGCATTGGTTGTGTTACGCTATTTTATACCTTTTTTTAAATTTATAGATAGATATATTCCCGTGATCCAATAGCAGAAATTTGCTGTTAACTTTCTTAACAAAGGTAGCTGCTGACAGATTTTATTTTTTAGAATAACTCTGTTTATAGGACTATTCTGACATGAAACTTTATTTTGGCATTCACTTTTTCCCTTTTCATTGGCAATAGTGTATTCCTGTTGGTGAAATTTAATGTTCATATATTTTATTTTTTTTTGCCTATAATAGATTAACTCAGTTGGTCAGAGCCTGTTGCTAATAACATCCAGGTCATGGGTTCAATACCCATATGGGTGATTCACTCAAGACTTGGACTTGATGGTCCTTCTGGGTCCCTTCCAACTGAGACT